CAGTGCATGTCAGAAGTGAAGTGAAAATCTGTGGATGTCAAGATTGAAGTGAAAATCTGGGCTTGTCAAGACTGAAGTGAAAATCTGTGCATGTCAAGACTGAAGTGAAAATCTGTGCATGTCAAGACTAAAGCGAAAATCTATGCATGTCAAGACCTAAACATGACAGGAAGATACTATTACAGTATTACAGGAAGAAATGTTAGTTCGATGTGTGTGCCCATGTCAGACTGATACTTCTTTCTCCAACAAACTGCTTCTTATGCTTAAGGAACACATATTCATGATATAATCCGACTTTGTGTCTTGCTTGATGCCGTCAATATGCAACATCGATTACTATTCACCTGCTTTTCTTTATTGACACTACATGTTTTGGCCCAACCAGCCATCTTCAGGTGTACAGGTTGTTATGATTGCAGAATCTGCTGCCCACTGTAATGCTGTTTTGTTTCTGTTATGTGGAGGCCTCGGATTGCATCTGGTTATGTGGGTTAGTCATCTGTTTTTTGATTTAGGTGTCCTTGAGCTGCTGGTGTTTGCTTCATGGTTTTGTTTCGCTGTGGCTGTCTTGAATGTTCTTGCTGGGGTGGGAATTTGTTGTGTTGATGGCCAACCACAGCACAACAAATATGCCCAGCTCAAGGACACCTAAACAAAAAATGGATGGTTAAGCCACCTAACCAGATGCAATCCGAGGCCTCTACATAACGGAAACAGAAAAGCATTACAGTGAGCAGCAGGTTCCTTGATCACAACAACCTGTACACCTGAAGATGGCTGGTTATGCTGAAATATGTACTGATGCAAAAAAAAAAAAAAAAAAGAAAACTGTGAGAGAATGTTAACGTAAGATTTGAGGCTTTCATGGCGGTGACTATGAAGAAAGTAGTCTTCTGGGATTTGGCACCGTGTATAACCACTTATACATGGTGCGAAATCCCAGAAGACTGCTTTCTTCAACGTTAACTGACGTTGCACACAGATGACATCAAAGCAAAATGCAAAGTCAGATCTACGCAGTGTGCAACAGGATGCTGCAATGTAACATTATGCCTGATATAAGTTTTTGTGTAAAATTCATTCATGGCCTTCTGGCTTATGACGTGGTTACCAAAGTTTTCTGCCAGTCTGTTGAAGGCAGGGGCAGTATGTTCTCTGGTAACCATCTACCAGACATCACAGTGTCATAACTTAGGAGACCAGAACGAGATTTTTCACCGTTGTGAAAGATTAAAATCTGATACTGTGTAAATTTGTTTGTATATTCAAATCTGGTGGATACTGTAAGGAAGTAATCACTAAACCATAGTAGTTCTGTCGTTCCTTATAAAAGAAGGAAAGAAGGTAAAGCTATCCCTGTACCAGGCCATGGAAGCCCCTAGGGTTGTGAGACCTCGAGGCTCCCACATTTTCTCTAGGCAATCAGCTCACAAATGGCGGGAAGGTTGTCAGCCTTACGTGCCGGCCCCCCTTTACCCCCCCCCCCCCATAAGATTGCCAGTGCCAATTGCAGACACTGCACAGTGTAGATAGAAGTAACTGTATATGGACAAACACAATATAAAGTCAAAGACTAATTAAATGTAAGCACTGGAGCAAAAACACATTAATGCAATTAATGTAATCAATAAGTCAATTCATTTCATGCTTATTTACATACAAACTTAACAACACAGAGGCCAGTTACAAAGTTAGCACGAGTACCTAGAAAGACACAAAAATAATTAAAGAACAAAATATGACACTCCATACAAGGGCAATAAATGAATAATAATTACAAAAAAAAAACTATAAAGTTAGCATTGACAGGAGAAAAAAAATTGAATATGTAAATTTCCAATGGTTATGCCATCTTGTATCATGACAATAATAATAATAATAATAATTCAATT